AGGTTGCTAGGTTGGGGAGTGGCATTCTGCCTGGCCAGAGAGGAGAGTTGCCAGGCAGCTGCTTCCTTGCAAGCGGGCTCCCGAAGAGCCGGGCATAGCCTCGGGGCGAAGCAACCATGAGGTGACCACGCTCATGAGCAGCCGCCCGGCAAACCCCTCTCCAGCTGGGCAGAGCGCCATTCACTGACCTAGGGGATATCCCTAAGGCGCCAAGCCACGTGGCACTCTGCCCGTTCCCCAGCTCCCGCGGTTTGGCACGTTCGGGATACCTCCTAGGTCAGTACATGGAGCTCTGGCCGGCTGGAGAGGGTGATTGCATGAGCACCTGTTCTGCCCCCAGTTCACATGCCTCCCAACCTCACCATGCCCTGGGCAAGCCGCCGCGCTCTGAGTATAATTTCTTCTCCAGCTTCCAAACTCCAAAACTCGGCTGCCGAGTCTTCCAGCAGCGGGCGCTCTAGGAGTGTGCTCTATGGTTGTGGGCTGGCTCCTGGAAGACTCTCTGTCCGGAAGGCTCTCTGTCTGGCAGCCGGCCCACAACCATAGAGCACACTCCTAGAGCGCCCGCTGCTGGAAGACTCGGCAGCCGAGTTTTGGAGTTTGGAAGCCGGAGAAGAAATTATACTCAGAGCGCGGCGGCTTGCCCAGGGCATGGTGAGGCTGGGAGGCATGCTTGCTGGGGGCAGAACAGGCACTCACGTAATCTCCCTCTCCAGCCGGACAGAGCTCCATGCACTGACCTAGGGGATATCCCTAATGTGCCAAGCCGCGGGAGCTGTGGGACGGGCAGAGCACCATGTGGCTTGGCGCCTTAGGAATAGCCCCTAGGTCAGTGAATGGCGCTCTGCCCAGCTGGAGAGGGGGTTTGCCGGGTGGCTGCTCATGAGCGTGGTCACCTCATGGTTGCTTCGCCCCGAGGCTATGCCCGGCTCTTCGGGAGCCCGCTTGCAAGGAAGCAGCTGCCCAGCAACTCCCCCCTCCGACCAGGCAGAATGCCACTCCCAAACCTAGCGGTATCCCAAAGGCGCCAAGCAACGTGAGCCTTTCCGCCCCCCGGCTCTCGCAGCTTGGCGTCTTCGGGATACCGCTAGGTCAGTGAGCAGAGAGGGGGGCTGTCCAGGGGGCTTATTTTCACGGGTGGCCTTATATTTTTGCCTACGCGAAAAATGTGGCAAGGCGTTAGTTTCACGACAGGTCGTATTTTTGAGGAAACATGGTATTACCCAGGATTCTCTATTTGTTCCAGACAATTCCAGCTAGACTAGGTAAAGCCTACTTTGACGACCTAAACAAAATAGTGTTGAAATATATTTGGCAGGAAAAGAAAGCAAGAATAAAATTAAAATTATTACAAGAAGCTAGAACAAGAGGACGATTTGGTCTACCGAACTGGGAGTTATGCCATCAGGCAACAAGCTTGATGTGGGTTAAGGAGTGGATAACATTAAGAAATTCTAGATTATTGACTGTAGAAGGACATGATTTGTTGTTGGGATGGCATGCTTTCCTATGGTACAAGGGAACTAAAATGCCAGGGTATTTTAGAAGACATTACATACGTGAGGCTTTGTTATTAAACTGGGAAAAGATTAAAAGACAACATTATTTTAAAATTCCAGTCTGGTTATCAACTATTGAGGCATTTTCATATCCAGTAACATACAAAAAGGAACAAACAGTTAGATATGGTGAAATATTGAATGCAAAGGGTGAACTTAAATCTATGCAAGAATTGGAACAGCAAGGTATAAATATGAATTGGCTTTCATATGCGCAAATACATTTCTAGTTATGATAAAGATCTTAAAATGGAAGGTTTCCATGATAAAATGACTGAGTTAGATAAAATTTTGACAGGTACTGATGAAAAGGTGATTTAAAAACTGTATGGATACTTATTAGAGGTTAAGTTAGAAGAAGAACAAGTTAAAGAATCTGTGATTGCTTGGGGGGGATAATTTTGCACGTGGGATTGATTTAGAGCAGTGGTAGTCAACCTGGTCGCTACTGCCCACTAGTGGGCA